TACGTTCATAAATGGTCATTTGGTTGAGTTTTGTGTTTGACATGTTTGAAGAACCAAGAATCATAAACCTTGAATTTGATGTTAAAAATATGTTTTAATAATTCTAATATGATCTATGAACCTTGGAGAACATCTCTATATAGTTTAATTGAAGTTCGGTGACTAAAAATGGTTTTCCCGAAAAATGGACCGAGGTTGAAGACGAATGAACAGTGGCTGAAAATCCACAGAGTGGATCGATCCCATTCATTGGATCGATCCTCTAGGAGTTTTTTTTAGTTGGATCGATCCAGAGGGCTGGATCGATCTTCCGAAACTCTGGTCCGAAAATTTGTCTGAAATTGCTATTTTTGAGCTCTAAAATCCTTTTTTTGATACCAATTGATTATGATTATTATAAAAATGATTTTTCACAACAAAAATGATGTTTTTAACAAATTAAAACATTATGTGATGCATGACGGTAAGTTCGGGTGTTAACACTCGAGACTAGGCCGCTAATTATTATTAAATGTTATGTTGAATGATCATTATGATGAACTATTATTGTGGGCAATTATGAATGATTAACCTAATGATTAGTATGATTATTGATTAAATCATGATTAAAAATGGATATAACGATTATGAAAAAAATGATGTATATTGTTAAGGATATCTAGAAGATCTCTAAGATATACCCACTTGTATAATGATGATGATTATTAAGGATATCTAGAAGAACTCTAAGATATACCTCCTTGACCAATTCATATTTCGGGGTTAAAACGTACGTACGGGATCCAGACCGGATATCACCCACCCGACAGTTCACTGTTCGGTTGGTACATAATCCACATGACTCATAGGGTGGATTATCGATTCTTGTGTTCTGCATTAAACTATTTATAGTGTAAGGGCCTGGTTAGAAATGTTGCCTTAGACTAAGAATAGTTAAGAGTTGTTATGAAATGATTTGACCTTAGATTAAGAATAATTTAAGAGCATTGTTGAGATATTGAATATCAAATGACTTGGAATAAAATATTGAGAATATCATGAATGTTTGAATTATATATAGTGTGCATGATATCAAATGGTTGATTATGAATCGAGATTCAATTTATGATGATGTTCGACGCTTTAGATATGCTTACTCAGCTTCACCGCTGAGCGTGTAGTGTGTTTTATTTGCTACACGCAGGTAGGCAGAATGAATGATTGGCTGATTCCTGGCAGCAGAAGGGGGCGAGACAGTCGTGGTAGATTATTGAATGAAATAAATAATTATGTTGTTATGAGACATATTTTAAAGTCGCTTCCGCATTTTATTTAAACACTCCGTATTTCTCTACAATTATGTATGGAATATTATTTATAAATAAAAATGTTTGAAATGTTTTAAATTATCACGATTACAAAATCAATACTTTAGTCCAAAAGGGGCTGCAGACCTGGACGGATTAGGGTGTTACAGCATAAACTAAAAGTTCAAATAACATTTTTAGGATGGGTCAGTCCGGCATCGTATTATCTCTAGATAATATCTGCCCATGTGCGGATGCGAACACACCGTCATTGACTATGAGACTAAGTCAAACATCCAACACACACTAGTCTCACATGCATTAACGATATCCCACTCTCGTTAATACTCGACTATGGACATTTAGATAAATATTTATTTCAAGATGTTAGTCTCATCAGCAGAATAACACTATCTGATAAACATCTTTTAAATATAAATCTAGGAATATAATATTTGTTTACATTAGCATGAGATGTGTAAACATATTATATCTGCCTATATATGATAGGATAACGATGAACAGTTGGCCATCAGGGCACAACTCCAACAC